AAATATTCTTGAAACTGACCACTACTGGGAAATGAAAATGATAACTGTGCATCCGAAATACAGAGGAAGAGGTTTGATGACTGAACTTGTCAAAAGGTATGAATATTCAGATGCATGGTGGTGACTTCCAATAAAAATTACTAGAAACATTGTTGTAGCTACATTGCTAGAACCAGCTGGCCGACGCCGACGTTATTGCCGACGCTATGTGAAGCAATTCTCGGAGAACAAAATACACGGTCGATACAATTTAATGGGAACAAATATAGGCCATTTTATTGTTTTCAATTTCAGCTTACAAGCTCGTTCGACTGGAGCAATACCTGGATTAGCTATTACCATATGGGATCTAATTTGGTAATACTAATCGACATCAAACTATTATAAATATTATATTCTAATATTTTGATATTAGTCATGGTTCGTATGAAAATCGACCAAAGATGACTTCATGTATGTAAATAATTTATCAATTACAAAAAACGAGAATATCGGTCAGAGACCGAAGACTTAACGATCGAAAGTTAGGGGATCCCCCAAAACAGCGCTCTTACTCCATAGTGACACCTTGTGTCCCATCATTAATTAATTAATAACTCGCTAATTATACAACATAATTTGCCCAAAATCAATAGGCTGCTGGTCCGAGATAAGATGAATGCACATGCAAAATCTGGAACAGATTCAATTTCGCTTTCGTGAGATATCGCGTGAATCTAACAGACAAACAGACAAATACCTATCAACATACTTACCGATTAAAATCGATAAGTGATTAGTGTCACTCTGATTTAGCTTTTTATTATTTACGCTTTCATCACTGCCTTTGTTGTGCATTGTGCCAAGTAAAGATAAAGAACGGCAACAATTTATCGTAATCTTACTATTTTAACCAAATTGCATGTTGATTATGGCATTCCAGGAAACAAATCACGAGAAATTTATAATGAATCTTATTTTCTTGGATAATCTTGCCCATTCATTTAACATATATTTTGTTAATCCAACACCGTTTTGGGCCTAGATAAAATAATTCAATATATTTTGCATCATATGCAAGTCAACTGAAAACTCATTTTGTTAAGGTCCACAATCTTGGCCAAACAAAGGGGAATAGAAAAACTGGTGATGTTTCAAACATACGACCAAAGCTTGAAGTCTCCGGAAAAAATGGATGGCTTTGAAATAATTAAACAGTTGGATTTGAGAGAATACGTTGATTCAGTAACGGGAAAGAAAGAGTTTTCAGGAATGAAGCCGCCATACCACTTACAAGTCATTATTGTCAAAAAAGTATGCTAGAGTATATAAAGAGAAGTTACGGATGGCAAACATGGTGTTGAAAATACAAATTTGTCTTACTGTGCGCAATCACCATGTAAAGCCTTACCTGTGAATGCTAATACTGTTTCGATCACTACCCGCTTTGGAGTTTTTTACGCTTTTAAAGCACTAATTATGCAAATGAGAATATCGGTCAGAGACCGAAGACTTATCGATCGAAAGCTAGGGGATCCCCAAAACAGCGCTCTTACTCCATAGTGACACCTTGTGTCCCATCACTAATTAATTAATAACTCGCTAATTATACGACATAATTTGCCCAAAATCAATAGGCTACTGGTACGAGATATGATGAATGCACATGCAAAATCTGCAGCAGATCCAATCTCACTTTCGTGAGATATCGCGTGCATCTAACAGACAAACAGACAGACAGACAAATACCTATCAACATACTTACCGATTAAAATCGATTAGTAACAACCAGCTAGCTGTTGTAGGCTATTATGCCATTGAATTGTGACTTTCCATATATCTGTCCAACTACTTTGATCTGTGGTCTTTTATGTATCGTAATGTGCATATGACTCGTAGATGCAACCACATATACCTAAATTTTGTTCTTAAGAAGTGATCTGGCAGTATTTGTACACCACCTAAATGGCTGTATTTGTATTTTGAGTTGGCTATATATGCATATGACTTTGACAGTAAATGTATATCTGGTTGGCTGTATATGTAAATGAGTTGGCGATATATGAATATTTTTGGCAGTATATGTATGACACGTTATAATTAATCGATCCATTAAGACTATCCATAACTCTTGAACGAAGTGTGATGTCTGTTACCAGTTAATATTTATGTATACCGCAGCCGTTTGTTTGAGCCACAGTTACAGAGCACAGCGCGTTCGCCATGACGTCCACATGTGGTACAGTGCTTCATATCTGATACCAGTATGCTACCGGTACAGATTTGGCCAAGTCAAAGCTCTTTCCATCCACCAGCATGTTGTGAAAACTTGATCACGCCTACAGTAAGTAAGGAAATTTTTTCACAACAAGAAGAAAAGAATGAAAAGAAAAACATTCTATTCGAAAGAGGATCATGATGAAATAAATAGCCAACTACCACGCAATATTTCAGAACACTTCGGGTAATTGAGAACACAGTCAATTGTTTTTGCGAGTTTTTCGACATATAGTCACATACTTTCCTAAAATAAAAGAATGTTTATAACTTGAATGCGGGTTACCTCGGAAAATTTATTTTGATGAATTTGATTCCATATATTTTTCAAAATTGTTGACGTTTACTATTTAAATAAAGTCAACTCGTTTTTTACTTTTTGAAAACCACATTAAAAATCGACTGCAGTTAGGAAACGGTCTTTTATGGAGTTTGATCTGTTTTCTAATTCCTCGTCACGCAGCTTTATAAAGATTGAAACAGTATTGTAATGTTAAACAGAAATGCAAATTCACAGGAAACTCAGACAGCCAAGCAATGATCGGTACCGGTATGGACGGGACAGTCCGGTAAAGGATTTGAAGATCTGAATCTACAGTCATTTTCACCACTTTCTGGAATGACAAAACCGCCCTATCAGGGCTAACGCGAAATTTGTAAGATAGGCACCAAACAATGGAGAAACTTTTATTGACATAAATTAATTACAGATGATAAAATTTGTAATCTCTTGGTAAAATTTCAAAGACTAGATTATGGAAAAAATATAAAAACTTAATTCAATAACGGCGGAATTGTTGTTTTTGGCTATAGGGCAGGGGTATGCATGGGCTACAACATAATTTGTTAGACTGGAATGGTCTCTGCAAAATAGAAGACTTAATTTGATGGGGCCATCACAACGGGTTAGTAGAACAAATTTGATCCACAGTTTTCTTCTTATTTTATGTGTAGGGAATTCATAAGTACAAAGCATTCCTTTGAATTCTGCAGTAAACCCCAATTACACTTCAACCAGGCATTGAAATATTCTTCAAGCCTATATCAAAAATATTCAAATGGAGTGGAAATCATTACACTTATGATTAATTTAACAACGAGTTTGCCTGTTCTTTTACAAGTTAGTTTGAAATCTTTACATAATCCTGCGTCTCCATTCCAATGCCTCCCAAACTCACGAAAAATGCGCCTGCAGTAATATCACCAATCGAATGACGCGATATAATGACACAGTCTAATCTAAAAAAAAGTTCAAAAATAAAATATACGTAGAAAGAACAAAGTAGAAGATATGAACGAATGAGATGTGGAGAGATAGATTCGAATTTATATGACGCTGTATACAGTACGAAAAATGGGACATGTTAGTTCAGTAGTTCTCAAACTTTGTAAGCCTCGCCCTCTTTTTAACATTTGTCAAGTCTCGCGCCCCATCTTAAAAATATCTAACAATTAATAGGCTCCAAATAACGGGTAGTAAGGCTGAAGAATGTTTTTTTTTTGTTTCAAAAAACACGTAGCTCTCTGCAATCTCTAAACAATAAAGAAATGTAAATATCCAAAAAATGGCCGACAAAATCAAATGTAAAAATTATTTTTATTTTTAATTAACTTCACGCCCTCTTGAAAATTTTCTACGCCCAGATTTGTGAAGCGCGCCCCACCGTTTGAGAACCACTGTGCTAGTTCGTTTAACCTGAAAGACGTGAACCAACAACTTCTCTTGATTGCGGCATACATTTTTTCAAACCCACCAGCGACCATGAGCCTTTTTAATGAAAACTGCGACCATTTCCAGTATCACAATGCAAGATTGAATAACTTCTATCTAAATGACTGATTTCATTCCTCCCTATTAAAAAACACAATCTTATAAATAGTATTATGCGGGTTGAAAAAGAAATTACCTTGTTTGATACGACAAAACAGCAGAAATTCTAGAATTATAAAAGGTAATATGAAAAGTTTCAAATACAAAGCACTGTTGCAAATGAATATTTAAAACCTTTTTTATTTAGAGCGTTGTATACAATGTACATGTGAATGATACTTATGAATGATACAAAGTATACAATGTATATTGAATTGATACTTCACTCCATTGGTAAGGAGTCATATACATAGCGTTCAGAGTCAAAGCAGGCATATTCACAACAAATCATCTGGAAAATATAAATGTAGTTAGGCATTTGAGTGTTCAAATTATTATTTCCTGAGAGTAGTGAGAGAAGAACATTCGCATGTGAACCTTGTTTGGCAACTTATGGAGCAAAGTCTGAAGTTCATACATTTATAGATTTTTAGACAAAAATTTAGCGCATTTTTGCAAAGCGTCCTAGATTTTTTAAACTTTCGCGTACAAAATGAAGTTTAAGCGCAACAAATCAAATATCATTTTTGTAGAAGTTAGTGATTAAGAAATTTATGGTTTATATTTTTTGTTCAATTTTGGTGTAAGTGTGCAGTAAGACCCTTGAATTGCATAGAATAATCAATTGTCACACTTGCTACAACATCCTTGCGTTATACGCATACGGATCCACCAGCACAGAGGTATATAGAGCAAAGGAATGAATTCAGTCTCACGTAACCCCAACCGTTAGTTCTATTTTTTGATTACCCTTTGAATATTTTAAAAAGCCATGATCAAATATTTATGGTATCCAAAAAAATCAAATGTTATAACAAGTGTTTTTGTTTCATGGTAACAGAACAATTGTTTTATACCACAATTTAACTAAGTTATGACATTATTAAATGATATAACATACAAAGTGATTGACTGCAGCAATTTGTGCTCAGTTCGAACCTTGATCGAAGAACATTACACGCCACATATCCCGCTGGGAAGGTATTTGAAATGTACTAAAGAAGATTGGATACCGACATATTATACTCTAATAGAGGTTGGTTTATTTTATCACCAGATTTTGAATATATAATATATATATATATAAGTGTTTATGATAAGTCGCTTGACTTGTTTTGTTTATTAATTGTAGACTGGCAGCCATATTTCAATAACCACCCTTCCAGTTTAAGTCCAAGTTGTGTAAATCATATTATAGAAGTTGTTTCAGTTAGTTATCTTTGTTGTGTAAAAACCCAAGTCTTAGTTTTAGATTCGTTAGGTATGATATTTACAGTGCTGCTGAAATGATATAAAAAATATTTCCAAGCGATGAGCGATTTAGTATTTTCAACATGTATATATAAATTGTTTTTGTTTTGCACGTGAAGCTTGTCTTAGTAGTGACTGATATATTCATATTTAATTCCAGCCTTTTTTAAGTCGAGGAAATTCAATCGGAGCTTTTTATGGTAAAGATGATGATTTGTGTGGAGTAGCTATTAACGTAAAACCTAATCGTACTGATGAGATGAAATACTTGAACACGCTTCATTTAAACGAAAAGTATGCAGCTGTTTATCGAGTAAGATATTCTTGTATGAATTAACCATAAATTTTCCGGAAAGTTATCCGATATCAAAACTTCAAAAAAAAAATCGAGTATGAATTCAATAATAGTCAGTGTTTTTTTTATAAGAAAAATCAACGAGACTATAGTAGAATTATGAATAAGTTTCTTGACCATGCTATATATTTGCTCTGGAAGTTTTACTACATAATATTTACAATTTTCCAAGCCAATCTCCAAACGTTTTACAAAACGTAGACCGCAATCAAGTAGGTCAACCGTGAATATTACAAATACGAATTAAAATATGACAACGATATACGCGTCGGAGACCTATTCAATTGAACGTCAGTCATTGCTGTCCTGAATATCTGAGCGGTTTTTAAACATGTTAATTTTTCGCAGATTTTTCGAGAAAAACTACTTTTTCACAATAGTTAAGATAAGTTGTATATCGGTATGAATGAAGTCAATTGTATAAAATCTTTCGTTTTTTTTCGATTAGCTCATGTCATCGATGAGCGGTAATGACATGCCAAATACTCTTGGAACTGACTGCTACTGGGAAATAAAAATGGTAACTGTGCATCCGAAATACAGAGGAAGAGGTTTGATGACTGAACTTGTCAAAAGGTATGAATATCCAGTAGCATGGTAGTGACTTTCAGTAAAAATTAATGAAAACATTGTTGTGAGTACATTGCTAGCACCAGCTGAAAGTTTGTTGCCGACGCTATGTGAAGCGATTCTCGGATTATAAAATTCACGGTCTATACAATTTAATGACGACAAATAGGCCAATTTATTGTTTTCAATTTCATCTTACTCGTTCGACTGGAGCAATAACTGGATTAGCTATTACTATATGAGACCTAATTTGATAATACTAATCGATATCAAATTAATATATATATATTATATTCTAAGATTTTGATATTAGCCTTGTTTCTTATGAAATCAACTAAAGATGACATCGCGTTTATAAATAATTTATAGACCGTTTTCCATCAATTACAATAAATTAGTGTCACTCTGATTTAGCTTTTTATTATTTACGCCTTCATCACTGCCATTGTTTTGCGTGGTGCCAAGTAAAGATAAAGTACGGCAACAATTTATCGTACCCATACTATTTCAACCAAATTGCATGTTGATTATGGCATTTCAGGAAACAAATTACGAGAAATTTATAATAAATCTTATTTTCTTGGATAATTTTGCCCATTCATGTAACATATATTTTGTTAATCTAACACCGTTTTGGGTCTAGAAGAAATAATTCAATATATTTTGCATTATATGCGAATCAACTAAAAACTCATTTTGTTAAAGGTCCACAATCTTGGCCAAACAAAGAGGAATAGAAAAACTGGTGATGTTTCAAACATACGACCAAAGCTTGAAGTCTCCGGAAAAAATGGATGGCTTTGAAATTATCAAACAGTTGGATTTGAGAGAATACGTTGATTCAGTCACGGGCAAGAAAGAATTTTCAGGAATGAAGCCACCATACCACTTACAAGTCATTATTGTCAAAAAAGTAAGCTAGAGTATACAAAGAGAAATTACGGATGGCAAGCATTGTTGAAAGTACAGATTTGTTAATCTTTTAAAAAAATGTGGATGCATGGAACAGGGTTATCCAAAACTACTGAATATTGGAATATCAAAGAATTCGAATACTCATTTAGCTTATTTTCGAATAATGGTCCCTTTTCTGCCGCAGCAAAACAATTTTCTGCGATTTGTCATGTGTTGTTACGGCGATAAAATAGAATCGGCACCTTAAATATATGTTAACTTCTGTGAGAGCGTGCGGCCATGTTGTTACGACATTTTTGCACCGTTAGGATTTACATATTTATCCTGGAGTAGAAAAAAAACTTCAAATTAGGCGGGATGCTATAGTTATGGGCTTATATATATGGTTCTAATTTAATTGGTTAGTAAGAGTTGATATCATTCACCCTACATCTTATCGTGGACGTCTGTTGCAAACAAAAGCAATAAAATACTTTGCGTCGCACTTAACCATGATCCATGTATTGTTCATATTCAAGTTTAGACTGATATAATCAATGAAAAATATATTTTACGCGCTAGTAGTTCTTTATGATATTTGCTATATTTAAGAAATAATGAACACCTATCGACTGAAGTAATTAATTAAGAAATTATATTGGTTCTGTTTTTTGGGGTTACAATAAAAATATAATCATTTTCAATTGAGATTCCAGTCTAGTGAAAAGCTTGATACCTACTGGTCAATGCTATCTACCTATGCCCTGGAATATAGTTCCACGAGTTCAGCATTGGAAAAAGTATTTGGTGAAAAAAAATCAAATCTTCTGTAAAAAAAAATCGTTTTTCTTGAATAAGTGTTTAATAAATATCCCGTCCCCATCGTGACAAGCGAGGAGGCACCAATTTACGGAGGGAAAAGGTTGCATCGGTCAATGTGATATTTGTGAGTCAACTTACCATTGGAAAAAAAATGTGGTATGAAGAAAAGTTTGGCTTGCTGACTATTTGTAAAATTTGATCAATCTAAAATAGAAATGATTCCATGAAATATAGTAGAGAATTTTTCAAGTTCAGTAATGAGCAAAAAGTCCTATGAAAAATCACGACACTGGTGTAATAGTTAATCAGAAACGAGAGTAAACCAGCTCATACAAATGATATTTAAATATCCAGGGACATGTCAAAATTTACGATTGATTGTTTTCGTACAGTTGCACAAGTAATTTTCAAAAGGCTACGATGAAAGTAATGGCTAACCAAAGGGTTGCGTGCTGGTATTCGCCACAAAAATTAAATGTTCAATTCCCACTTTTTGAAAGGGAGTCTAATACTTTTCTACAAAAGGAAGACAGGAAGGCAAGTTGGTCCAAACAACATTCCAGCACGCTTTCTTAAATCTGTTGCTGATCTCCATGCGCCATGTTTAGTTGAATTTTTCAATTGTTCAATTTTGTTCAAAATCTTTCCTGCATGTCTCAAAATTGCTCGGGTGATTCCCCTTTTCAAATCTGGCAATAAAAAACGGGTGTCAAATTACAGACCAAATTCGATACTTTTAACGAATAGGAAAAATATTTGAGCGTTTGATTTATAAGCGGCTTACTGATGTTTTTATAAAACATGATGTAATAAAGATATCTCAAATTGGTTTAAAAATAATCTATCTACATCGCATGCTATTTTGGATTCAATATCATATATCTATGATAAACTAGAAAGGATAATGTTTGAAAGTGCAACATTTTGAGATCTAAGGAAGGCCTTCGATACCGTAAATCATGACATCCCAGTTTACAAGTTGAGACACTTCGATATTAGGGGTAAAGCGAACAAATTCATTTATAGTTATTTAAGTAATATATTTCAGTATGTTCAAGTGGGGTCGTATTCTTCCTCTCCTTTACCAATGACTCACGGAGTTCCTCAAGGTAGTTGTTTGGATCCACTGCTTATTTTAGTATATATTAACGACATATCTTATCTCTCTTCATTCTTTTCCAAATTAATTACTGAAGATACTAATCTCTTTTACAGCGACAAATCTTGTGCAGCCTTCTTATTTAAAGTGAATTCTGAAATTGCGAAAATATCTAATTGGATGAGGTTCAATAACCACACCAACGCAAATCTAAAAATGGTATCGCAATCCAAATTAATGATAAAAAACTTGAAAATGTTTATTCCTATAAATATCTTGGCGTATACATAGGTAGCAAAATGAAATGAGATGTTCACTTATCCAAATTGGCCGTTAAATTATCCAAGTCAGTTCGAATACTATACAAGCTTAAAATTTACATCGCCATTAACACTACGGATGATTTAATGCTCCTTATTTCAGAGCCATATCCAATATGACACAATCAGTGGCGTATCTACGTAAAATTGCGCCCATGACAAAATTTGAAGATGCGCCCCCCTTGATAGTAAGTTCACAATTTATAATGACTCTCAGGGGAATGAGTTAATTGTACGTTATTATTTGAGTAAACCTACGAGTTTCAGGTATTACCAATTCGAAATTATTTTTTTGAAACATTTAACGATTGAAACTTTTCTCCTTTTTTGCGCCCCTGTCCAAACGGCGCCCATGGCACAAGCCACGGCTGCCACACCCTATCTACGGCACTGGGACCAATTGCCTAGGGTTCAGCTGATAAAACCCTGTTACATCGCCGAGCAATCCGTGCGATGTCTGCTGCCAGACATTTTAGTGCCTTATTTCACTTGATTGTGATTTATCATAACGAATGACAAGTCTTAGCAAAGCTTTATTGTTATCGACCCTTCTTTGTATCGAGCAATTCGTCACGGACTTTAGATCGTCATTTGGGAATTGAGAATATGGAGTTTTTAATGATTTTTGCATTATTATTGCTTATTGAAAGAGTGCAAATCAGCGTTCCACTCCGTTAACGTGTGTTTTATAACACGGTGGGAACACGCAGAGTAGGGTCGATTACCCCTATAATGTAACTGGTGAAATAGAAGTTGCACAAGATGTATGAGCATGATCGAGCATGTCGTCAGTTACAGTTGACAGATCGTGACTTTGCAGTCCTGTGACTTTGCACTTCTCAGTTGTGTCACCGCAGATCAATATTGGCATCATTTCCTTTATCTCGTGTACTTGCTTCGCAATATTATTATCATGTGCCCGTTATGTTGTGTAAGGCTTTTCAAGCATGGTTGTAAACATTGGATCGGTTCGTATTTATGGTTTTGAGTGCCATTTATAGGTTTTTAATTATGTTTCAAAATTCAGACAACTCAATGGCCATTTCGTCTGATCGACTTTTGTTTTAGTTTTCGTAATCCAAAATTAGTTCTAGAAAAACTCCGATAAACAAAAGTAGATACCAGTTTTATTTTTAAATTATACTTCGGTTCGGGGAAATCTGACAGCAGCATGTCATGTCTCTTCATCAGAAAAAAAAACTAAACAAAAATGCCTTTCACATCAGACAAGGGTTGTGCAACATAGGCCATCGTACTAAGTTATATCCCTAAGCTGATATTTTGCAAGTGTGCTTGGCCCTTTTAGCGAATATTAGAGTGCAGATATGTTTTGTTAGAGTGGACTGTAAAATTAGCTTGAGAAAGTTATTATATAATATCAATATTGAAAATAACATATATATATATATATATTTGATTTTTATTACATATGCATATTATCCTCGGTAGACTGTTATATCATCCATTTCATCCAAATTTTCCAATGAAGACAAATTTTAGCAATTGTTTGTAACTTTGTACTTGATAAATCTATATTATGGCGTCAATAACAAATCTCACTTACAAACTTCTGAGCGTAAAACATCTATGCGCTGTTAGGAATTTGGTCGAAGAACATTTCACATCTACGTACTTATTGGGAGTATACTTAAATTGGACGAAAGAAGATCTGATTCCTGCATATTATTCTCGGATAGAGGTAATGGAGTGTAGCCTATACTTGACAAACATGCAAATTTTATTTTTTTAAAATAACTAATATTTCCTCCTTCATTTATATTATACGTATAGGACTATGAGCATGAGGCAAAAATAAACTCCCAAGTTTTAATTTTTGATAAAATAAGCAAGAAAAACTTTTGGTAAATTTCTATTACATACACAACAAGGCATTTGATCGCCATTTTGCGTAAACTACGTAACTGCTACTAGCTTGTTATGATATCTTTTATGTAGATATCTAGGGTCTCTTTCTGTCCAATACCGAATTGTTTGTCTATTGACCCAAACTTATAAATAAAAGTGATCGTCATCACTGGTAATTAGAATATCATTCGCAAGAACAGTTACCTATTTTTTGTTAGTGAGAAAACATTCCACAGTAAATGCGGGGTCTTTACTTTACCTGCCCAAGCCTCATGTTTGCTCCAAAGAATTTCATAGAGTTTATATCAAATCACTTGTTATTGTAATCTTTAGAAAACTAGAGACTGAATAGTAGTTCTGTTCAAATAAATTTACTTAAACTAGGTGAGCATCAAACTGCAAGAGCAATAGCCATGACAAAAATTTCTATTATTCTCTTATTATTCTATTATAGGTTAATTACACAATTAATCCATAGTTAATAATGGAATATATATATACTACATAAGGATATTGCTAATTTATCGACTACGTTGTTAATACCGGTATCAATAAAATAAAATAATCTGTATTTATTTTACCAAATCAGTTCAATGAATTGATCTCTTAAATATTTTCGTCTTGAGAACATTGAGTGCTTTTATATAAATATAATACTCTATTTCATTTCAGTCTTTCTTAAGGCAAGGAAATTCACTCGGGGCATTCAGTGATAAAGATGCTAAATTACGTGGAGTTGTCATCAATGTGGAACACGACGATAATGAAAAAATAAAATATGAAAAAGCACTACATATCAGTGAAAAGACAGATACTATAAATCGGGTAGAAAATATATTTTTGACTTCAATTTACTTTGAATATTCTTTTGCGGTATTGCCCGTAAATGTATTAAATTAAACAATACATATGTTTATATGTGTAAAGCTCATGGTGGCAATTGGAGTAAATCAATTATCTGACATTCTTGGAACCAAAAAATTTTGGGAGATGAGAATGGGAACTGTGCATCCAAGTTACAGAAGGAAAGGACTATTGCCTGAACTTACAAAAAGGTAAGATCAGTGAATGTATTTATAGTGATACAACTTTTTCTGAACTTATTATCATCATATCGATATTAAAACTTTACTATTTTCTTGAAATTTAGATCTACAGTTCTTGCCAAACAAAGGGGAATTGAGAAACTTGTAGCATGTCAAACATATAATAAAGCTCTGGTAGAACCTTCGAAAATGGACGGATTTGAAGTAATTAGACACATTGAATTGAAAAACTATCTTGACCCCGTCACAGGGCAAAAAGTTTTCTCGGGGATGAAACCACCAAATGACGTGCAAGTTTTAATCGCTAAAACTTTGACTTAGTGAGATCCTGTGCTCTCACATCAGGGGTCGGCAAACTGTGTCACGCGAGCTAATTTGTTGCGGCCCTCGAACGACCTGACATTTAATACATACAACAAAAAATTGATCCTAAATTTATTATTCTACTACACTAGTCATTACACGGATTTATGTGTTAACAAGTGCAGCTGTACGGCACTTGTTTTGTAATAAGTAGCATCAGTTGTATGTCGCTCGAGATGAATTTGATTTTTAAAAGAAAAGGTAAAAATGTCTTGGAAACGGAGGGAAGTTTGCGACGAGAGTCGAACATTTTTTTGGTAAACATTTTGTAAAATTCTAAGAGAATACATTTGTTCCATGCGATGGTATGGCATTCCTCCAGTTGTATTTAAGGTCGTATACTTCGATGAAGTTTGATTCAAATTGATCAATATGGCTTTTGAATTTATTAAGAACCTTATTTTGTATTTCCTGTATATCCCATGCATTTATGAAACTATTGTTCCTATATCTAGACGAATTTTTAGGTTTATTATCTCCAGTATTAAATTGCGAAGATTTCCATCACCACTGTATTGTTATGGCCCTCGTATGTATTTAAAAAAATATTTTGTCGTTCAATGTTTAGCAAGTTTCCGGTTATGGCTTGTACACTTCGGGTGATGGAATTATGAATTTTTATATACGTAGGACACGAGAGAAAGATGTGCGGAGTTGTATCGACGGCTCTTTTACAGAAATTGCATGCTGGTGTTTGGAGCTGCGGGGTTCCGAAGTTTCTCAGCAGGCCGTAAATCCATTTGCGATGTCTCAACAAATATGCGTCGCGTTTAATTCTATACGACACTTCGCGTTCTTGGTTTGTGAAAAGTGACTTTAAACTGGGTTCTAAATAGTTTAAATTCAAATAGTTTTTCTTAACCAATCAGTATTATCTTGATTGTTTTCATACAATCTATCTTGTAGTTTATGATAGATTGATCTCAATGTCAAATCTTGCCAATCGTCGGGTTCTAAATTCAATATCTGGTTAATGTTCAAAATGTGTTGCCAGTGGGCGTCGATTTGAATCGCAGGAGGAAAAGAGTTGCTGTATATAGATTTTTTTATTGTTTCAAGCCTCGAACCGAGAGTGTAAAAACCCTCGAAATGCCAGAATTTGCTTGGTTCTTTAATATTGTAGATGGTTGCTAATTTCTGGAATAGGCATGCATATGACTTTAGCTTCATGTCGACCATACCGATTCCGCCCTTCCTTATGGGTAGGAGCATTCCAAAGTGCTTGGACGCGAGAACATTTTTCGTTCTTGCGCATTCCAAAACCAGTTTGCTCGATATGCCCGGTCAGCATCGCAGGTACTAATTAAGGGAATTAATGTTAAACTCGTTATGAAACGTGTCATCAAAAATTCGTCATCTGAGCGACAGTGCAAAACGTGTAATCTGCACGTTCGGAAGCTCATAATGCTTTATCTAAAACGCATTACACTTAGAATAAATTTCGTACTCGCTTGTCAGATCGTCATTTGGACGACCGCGGGCAATGTGACATAGAAACATCATCCTTCACATTGATAATAAGTAAACAAAAACGATGTATTGTTTGATAAGATATGATAAAAGGCCACATATACGCCTCATTCTTGCAGGCTTTTAACACAGCAATAGAAGGTGCGAATGCGCTATTATTTGAAGTTTAATGTAGTGATTGTTCGAAGGCGGAAATATTGCGGCCCGCGCGCTACCGGAAATGTGTATATTTGGCCCGCAAATACATAAAGTTTGCTGACCACTGCTGTACAAGGAGAACGGCATAACTACGCTAACTCGTGATTTTGCCCAGTCCGCGTGTGACTTAAATAATGCATTAGAAAATATAGCCTACGTATTTTTCTCATTCCCGCCTCAAAAGTGAACATTGTGTTTTTAATTATGCTTACTGCATTTCGATAATTAAAAAAAAAACAGTTACGTTGAATTATCTTTATGTTTTAGAATAAACCCAATGCCCCGTCCATGGTCAAATATTTTTGAAAACATTTTTATTAATATGAAAATTGAATTGAATATTTACAAGAATTTGTTACTATATAGCCTACTGACAGTGAGAAAAGATTAATTTCTTTATCTTCCAGATGCTGTGAAGTTTGCTAATAGTTTTCAATTTCAGCATTCATACAGGTTAAATATTATACAATATTTTACAATATTTAACTCCTTTCTAATCTAGAAGTTTCCGCTTACCAAGTATTACTTATATATTTAATGATATTAAAAAACATCACAAAAATTGGTGATATTTTTAAAATTTGTAGTTCTATGTTGCAGTTAGTATATTAAATAAATTACGCAGCTTCTGATTGCTCGTCGATGGTTTTCATAGTCTTCACTGTCGTGACATTGAGTTATTATTGGACTTGGAATAGAAATATGGGTCGATTTTCTAAATTGTTGGTATTTTTGTAAGAAAAAAGCTCCTGACTGTAAGCAAATGACCAAGCAAGTTTCTATTTTTCGTACGCCAAGATGGTTATTACTTTTATTTGTTTAAATTTTCTTATGTGGGTCTTTGGGACACGATATTTCACCCCTAATGGGACACAGGGAATTGGAAGGGGCGGAGAGAATTTGGAGGGAAACCACAATACTAAGCGCAAAATCGTTCTTAATGCGAATTCGTTTGCATACTTTTCCAATTATAAGAAAATTGTTTTTCTTAGTTTCACTATAACTAAAGGACTATTTCCAGTCACATGGTGTTTTCACTTGTGTATAAATTATTTGATCATAATGTGATTTCTACCTACTAAAATACCACTACAAGTAGGCTATCTCTGTGCTCTGCGAAAACTAACTTTTGTAGTAGGTTGACAGGCCGTCTAACGTTCAGAAAAGGGTTGATCTATTATACTTTCGGCAGTTTCACGAGACTGCGAGTCGTCGTAAAAATGTTATAGACACAGAAAAATAAATTTTCAAATATTCCCAGGAGAAGCCAATTGGATGACAGTTACGTTGTCTTCAGTTTTACCAAATTAAATCAAAATGGACTAGATTTCGAATGCGCAGAATGTGTACCTTGCTCGTATTTTTGGATTGATGAACAGTGGGGAGCCACGAGTGCTAAAAGCCTCCGAAAGGGTGCCACGGACCATGAAAGGTTTGAGAACCACTGATCTGGAGTTCGTAAGGTTTTATCGTACCGGGTAAACATGTAATTGATAATTGCTCTCTTGTTTTATTGTCATATACTCATATGACATTTTATTAAATTTTGCCGAGAATTCATTGATTCATAATTTATTCAAACCTGTATTCTTGATTGCAAGATCTGGATTGTGTATCATAGGCTTAAGCATTTGTTAAATCGTTCGATTGAACTTTTCCACTTGTCCATCAGAACGAGGGTAATATGGTGGGGTAATTTCGAAGTTTTAGAAACAATTAGAGTAATAAAAAATAGTAGATAATATATAAATATTAATACATAATGAAGGAAATTAATCATCAAATATGCTTTTGTTTTAGGTATAGGATTTATATATACCAGTACCGGTATATGCGAGTTGCAGTGCTACAGCAAAGAAATAACCATGCAAAGGACTGAATGCTCATGATATTCAAGATTATACATCAACGAATAGTGATATTGACAATGCCGTTCGCATTGCAGCATGGTAGACAATACAATGCAAGTCAATATAGGGGTTTTGCAGTATTCATCTTTTCACAAATCTGACACAGTTAGTCCTAACAAAAGCCAAATTACTGACATAAACAAGCATCAAGGTAAAGATTTTTTAATGCTTGTTTGAATAGAATATAATTTATGGAACTGATTGAATCAGGAAGCGTATTCCATACTTTCACACCCACAAATTTTATAGTGTTTTGTGTAAATTTAGCAGAGTAACGAGTTACATAATAAGAGCTGCTGGTAGAGTTACATAATAAGAGCTGCTGGTAGTCAACCCACGTTTTACGTTCTTTCAAGTCAAACGAACTAAAGACGATGCTATGGTGGCATAACCAGGCACATAACGCCTATAATAGTTGGTAGTTTCCAAGAAACTTCTAACATCTGATACTCCTTGAGGCGTTTTCCAATCCACTATTGTTGCGACATTGTGAGGATCACAGCAAACTCTTTCGAAAGAAATTTTGTATCCAAGGTAGGTTACTGATCGATGGAACAACTGACATTTTGTCGATTTAAGTTTCAAACGAGCACCGCGAAATTGAATGAGAACTTTCTTCAAACTGCTCAACGGCGCGTCAATATCTGATCCGAGGGCTGAAACATCATCCAAATAATTTGAACAACCTATCCCGACTTTTCCGCCCATCACTCGGTCCATCATCCGCTCAAACGTTGCAAGCGCATTGGACAGGCCAAACGGCATGACTACAAATTGGTAGTGTCCTTTTTCAGGGAGACTGAGAACACATTTCTCTCTGTCAGACGGATCTAATTCTACCTGCCAGTATACACTGGCCAAGTCAAGCGCGAGTTTACCACCCAGACCAACAAAAATGTCCTTAAAGTCTCACAGCAAAAAAAAAATTGTTAATACTGGTGAGCCGAAAGTACCTCAGTCGAGGTAATCAAATCTTGTAGATCAGTGGTCGGAAAACTTCATGTACTTGCGGGCCAAATATCAACTTATTTGGTTGCGCGCGGGCCGTATAATTCCGCCTTCGAAGAATCGCCACAATGAACTTCAAATTACGGCGCATTCGCACCTTCTATTAATGCGTTAAAAGCCTGCCGCAGTGAGATTTGTATGTGGCCTCTTTTGATATACTAACCAACAATACATTGTTTTTATTCACTCATTATTATCAATGTGAAGGATGGTGTTTTTATGGCAACTTTAATGTCAAAATCCCCTAATATCTAGGATGCTGACTCGGCATATTTATTATAACTTCCAAGTGTAATTCATTTAAGATAAAGGTGCTCCCAGCACAATAAGCTTCCGAACGTGCAGATAACACGTTTTGTACTGTTTCGTAACGAGATTAACATTAAATTCCCTAATATCTGCGATGCAGACTGGGCATATCGAGCAAACTGGTTTTGAAATGTGCAAAAAAAAAAAATATTTTTCGCCCAAGCACTTTGGAATGTTCGACCTTTGTCGCGAACTTCCCTCCGTTTCCCAGACAATTTTACATTTTATAAATCGACATTAACTCGAATGACATACAACTGACCCTACTTATTACGAAACAAGCGCCGTACACCAGCACTTGTTAAAACATAAATCCGTGTAAAAACAATAATAAATTTAGGAATAATTTTTGTTTTATGTATTTAATGTTGGGTCGTTCGAGGGCCGCAATAAATTAGCTCGCGGGCCGCATTTAGCCCGCTGGCCGCAGTTTGCCGACCCCTGTTGTAGATGATCAGGTAAACCATCAGGTTCACCAGTCTTACAGAAAGTAAAATTTGATCAATCTAAAATAGAAATGATTCCATGAAATATAGTAGAGAATTTTTCAAGTTCAGTAATGAGCAAAAAGTCCTATCAAAAATCATGACACTGTTGTAATAGTTAATTAGAAACGAGAGTCAACCAGCTCATTCAAATGATATTTAAATATCCAGGGACATGTCAAAATTTACGATTGATTGCTTTCGTACAGTTGCACAAGTAATTTTCAAAAGGCTACGATGAAAGTAATGGCTAACCAAAGGGTTGCGTGCTGGTATTCGCCTAAAAAATAAAATGTTCAAATCCCACTTTTTGAAAGGGAGTGAAAGTACTTTTCTACAAAGGCAAGACAGGAAGGCAAGTTGGTCCAAACAACATTCCAGCACGCTTTCTTAAATCAGTTGCTGATCTGCCTGTGCCATGTTCAGTTGAATTTTTCAATTGTTCAATTTTGTTCGAAATTTTTCCTGCATGTGTGATTGCACACCTTGCTCTCGGGTGATTCCCCTTTTCAAATCTGGCAATAAAAAACTTCTGTCAAATTACAGACCAAATTCGATACTTTTAACGAATAGGAAAAATATTTGAGCGTTTGATTTATAAGCGGCTTACTAATGTTTTTATAAAACATGATGTAATAAATATATCTCAAATTGGTTTAATAAGTAATCTGTCTACATCGCATGCTATTTTGGATTCAATATCATATATCTATGATAAACTAGAAAGGATAATGTTTGAAACTGCAACATTTTGAGATCTAAGGAAGGCCTTCGATACCGTAAATCATGACATCCCAGTTTACAAGTTGAGACACTTCGGTATTAGGGGTATAGCGAACAAATTAATTTATAGTTATTTAAGTAATATATTTCAGTATGTTCAAGTGGGGTCGTATTCTTCCTCTCCCTTACCAGTGACTCACGGAGTTCCTCAAGGTAGTTGTTTGGATCCACTGCTTATTTTAGTATATATTAACGACATATCTTATCTCTCTTCATTCTTTTCCAAATTGATTACTGAAGATACTAATCTCTTTTACAGCGACAAATCTTGTGCAGCCATCCTATTTAGAGTGAATTCTGAAATTGCGAAAATATCTAATTGGATGAGGTTCAATAACCACACCAACGCAAATCTGAAAATGGTATCGCAATCCAAATTAATGATAAAAAACTCGAAAATGTTTATTCCTATAAATATCTTAGCGTATACATAGGTAGCAAAATGAAATGAGATGTTCACTTATCCAAATTGGTCGTTAAATTATCCAAGTCGGTTCGAATACTATACAAGCTTAAAATTTACATCGCTAATAACACTACGGATGATTTACTGCTCCTTATTTCAGAGCCATATCCAATATGGCACAATCAGTGGCGTATCTACATAAAATTGCGCCCATGGCAAAATTTGAAGATGCGCCCCCCTTGATAGTTAGTTCACAATTTATAATGACTCTCATAGGAATGAGTTAATTGTACGTTATTATTTGAGTAAAACTACGAGTTTCAGGTATTACCAATTCGAAATTATTTTATTGAAATATTTAACGATTGAACCTTTCTCCTTTTTAGCGCCCCTGTCCAAACGGCGCCCATGGCACGAGCCATGGCTGCCACACCCTAGATACGCCACTGGGCACAATTGCCTAGGGTTCAGCTAATAAAACCCTGTTACATCGCCGAGCAATCCGTGCGATGTCTGCTGCCAGACATTTTAGTGCCTTTTTTCACTTGATTATGATTTATCGTAACGAATGACAAGTCTTAGCAAAGCTTTATTGTTATCGACCCTTCTTTGTATCGAGCAACTTGTCACGAATTTTAGATCGTCATTTGGGAGTTGAGAATATGGAGTTTTTCATGATTTTTGCATTATTATTGCTTATTGAAAGAGTGCAAATCAACGTTCCACTCCGTTAACGTGTGTTTTATAACACGGTGGGAACACGCAGAGTATGGTCGATTACCCCTATAATGTAACTGGTGAAATAGAAGTTGCACAAGATGTATGAGCATGATCGATGCTGTCGTCAGTTACAGTTGACAGATCGTGACTTTGGACTTCTCAGTTGTGTCACCGCAGATCAATATTGGCATCATTTCCTTTATCTCGTGTACTTGCTTCGGAATATTATTATCATGTGCCCGTTATGTTGTGTAAGGCTTTTCAAGCATGGTTGTAAACATTGGATCGGTTCGTATTTATGGTTTTCAGTGCCATTTATAGGTTTTTAATTATGTTTCAAAATTCAGACAACTCAATGGTCATTTCGTCTGATCGACTTTTGTTTTAGTTTTCGTAATCCAAAATTAGTTCTAGAAAAACTCCGATAAACAAAAGTAGATACCAGTTTTATTTTTAAATTATAAGCGGTTAGGTATTCGAATCAAAGTAGAGCCCCATACTTCGGTTCGGGGAAATCTGACAGCAGCATGTCTTGTCTCTTTATCAGAAAAAACTAAACAAAAATGCCTTTCACATCAGACAGGGGTTGTGCAACATAGGCTATCGTACTGACTGATATCCCTAAGCTGATATTTTGCAGGTGTGCTTGGCCCTTTTAGCGAATATTATCCTTGGTAGACTGTTATATCATCCATTTCATCCAAATTTTCAAATGAAGACAAATTTTAGCAATTGTTTGTAACTTGTCCATCCATTTCATCCAAATTTTCAAATGAAGACAAATTTTAGCAATTGTTTGTAACTTGTCACTTTAACTTTATGATAAATCTATATTATGGCGTCAATAACAAATCTCACTTACAAAATTCTGAGCGTAAAACATCTATGCGCTGTTAGGAATTTGGTCGAAGAACATTTCACATCTACGTACTTATTGGGAGTATACTTAAATTGGACGAAAGAAGATCTGATTCCTGCATATTATTCTCGGATAGAGGTAATGGAGTGTAGCCTATACTTGACAAAGATGCAAATGTTATTTTTTTAAAATAACGAATATTTGCTCCTTCATTTATATTATACGTATGGGACTATGAGCATGAGGCAAAAATAAACTCCCAAGTTTTAATTTTTGATAAAATAAGCAAGAAAAACTTTTGGTAAATTTCTATTACATACACAACAAGGCATTTGATCGCCATTTTGCGTAAACTACGTAATTGCTACTCGCTTGTTATGATATCTTTTATGTAGATATCTAGGGTCTCTTTCTGTCCAATACCGAATTGTTTGTCTATTGACCCAAACTTATAAATAAAAGTGATCGTCATCACTGGTAATTAGAATATCATTAGCAAGAACAGTTACCTATTTTTTGTTAGTGAGAAAACATTCCACAGTAAATGCGGGGTCTTTACTTTACCTGCCCAAGCCTCATGTTTGCTCCAAAGAATTTCATAGAGTTTATATCAAATCCCTTGTTATTGTAATCATTAGAAAACTAGAGACTGAATAGTAGTTCTGTTAAAATAAATTTACTTAAACTAGGTGAGCAACAAACTGCAAGAGCAATAGCCATGACAAAAATTTCAATTAATTAAGATTAATTTAATATTCTATTATAGGTTAATTACACAATTAATTCATGGTAAACATGGAATATATATATACTACATAAAGATATTGCTAATTGTTAATACCAGTATCAATAAAATAATCCATATTTATTTTACCAAATCAGTTCAATGAATTGATCTCTTAAATATTTTCGTCTTGAGAACATTGAGTGCTTTTATATAAATATAATACTCTATTTCATTTCAGTCTTTCTTAAAGCAAGGAAATTCACTCGGGGCATTCAGTGTTAAAGATGCTAAATTACGTGGAGTTGTCATCAATGTGGAACACGACGATAATGAAAAAATAAAATATGAAAAAGCACTACACATCAGTGAAAAGACAGATACTATAAATCGGGTAGAAAATATATTTTTGACTTCAATTTACTTTGAATCTTTTTTTGCGATATTGCCCGTAAATGTATTGAATTGAACAATACATATGTTTATATGTTTAAAGCTCATGGTGGCAATTGGAGTAAATCAATTATCTGACATTCTTGGAACCAAAAAATTTTGGGAGATGAGAATGGGAACTGTGCATCCAAGTTACAGAAGGAAAGGACTATTGCCTGAACTTACAAAAAGGTAAGATCAGTGAATGTATTTATAGTGATACAACTTTTTTTGAACTTATTATCATCATTTCGATATTAAAACTTTACTATTTTCTTGAAATTTAGATCTACAGTTCTTGCCAAACAAAGGGGAATTGAGAAACTTGTAGCATGTCAAACATATAATAAAGCTCTGGAAGAACCTTCGAAAATGGACGGTTTTGAAGTAATCAGACACATTGAATTGAAAAATTATCTTGACCCCGTCACAGGGCAAAAAGTTTTTTCGGGGATGAAACCACCAAATGACGTGCAAGTTTTAATCGCTAAAACTTTGACTTAGTGAGATCCTGTGCTCTTATATCAGGGGTCGGCAAACTGTGGCACGCGAGCTAATTTGTTGCGGCCCTCGAACGACCTGACATTTAATACATAATACATACAACAAAAAATTGATCCTAAATTTATTATTCTACTACACTAGTCTCTACACGGATTTATGTGTTAACAAGTGCAGCTGTACGGCACTTGTTTTGTAATAAGTAGCATCAGTTGTATGTCGCTCGAGATGATTTTGATTTTTAAAAGAAAAGTTAAAAATGTCTCGGAAACGGAGGGAAGTTTGCGACGAGAGTCGAACATTTTTTTGGTAAACATTTGGTAAAATTCTAAGAGAATATATTTGTTCCATGCGATGGTATGACATTCCTCCAGTTGTATTTAAGGTCGTATACTTCGATGAAGTTTGTTCAAATTGATCAATATGGCATTTGAATTTATTAGGAACCTTATTTTGTATTTCCTGTATATCCCATGCATTTATGAAACTATTGTTTCTATCTAGACGGATTTTTAGGTTCATTATCTCCAGTATTAAATTGTGAAGATTTCCATCACCACTGTATTGTTATGGCCCTCGTATGTATTTAAAAAAATATTTTGTCGTTCAATGTTTAGCGAGTTTTCGGTTATGGCTTGTACACTTCGGGTGATGGAATTATGAATTTTTATATACGTAGGACACGAGAGAAAGATGTGCGGAGTTGTATCGACGGCTCTTTAACAGAGTTTGCATGCTGGTGTTTGGAACTGCGGGGTTCCGAAGTTTCTCAGCAGGCCGTATCTCCATTTGCGATGTCCCAACAAATATGCGTCGCGTTTAATTCTATAAGACACTTCACGTTCTTGGTTTGTGAAAATTGGCTTTAAACTGGGTTCTAAATAGTTTAAATTCAAATAGTTTATTCTTAACCAATCAGTATTATCTTGATTGTTTTCATACAATCTATCTTGTAGTTTATGATAGATTGATCTCAATGTCAAATCTTTCCAATCGTCGGGTTCTAAATTCAATATCTGGTTAATGTTCAAAATGTGTTGCCAGTGGGCGTCGATTTGAATCGCATGAGGAAAAGAGTTTTAAGACTCGAACCGAGAGTGTAAAAACCCTCGAAATGCCAGAATTTGCTTGGTTCCCCAATATTGTAGATCAGGGGTGTGCAACCTTTTTCGCGGGCGGGACAAATATCAATAACTGAGTGAAACCGCGGGCCGCACCGTCATTTAACATAGACTTTCTATTAGTTGCAGGCACAAAATAGCGCATTTTAGAAATAAATATGTTACCGGAAAGTGCCATATTTGAGGCCATGACTTTTTTAACATATGGAAAGTTATCTTGGTGTTTTCGGTAAGATTCGTTTCCAAATAATTTTCTGTCAAATCTTATTCTAGATTAGATTTAGACCAAATCAATTGATAGGCTGGAACCAAAACTCATTTAGCTTTTGTATCTATATAATATCAAATTTTTTTAAACTGCTTTCCAGTTGCCTAATCTTCAATTGCCTGTTCTTACAAATTCATTAGCGTATTCTCCGCATTTTCCTTAAATTGTTTACTGCTCAGCAAGGGACAGCTTTGTGAATCGCGTTGTTCGCCTCGCTGTTAGGACGCTGTAAGTCATAGGCATAGATAATAAATTGAACTCGGATATGAGATTTGCAACGCAAAGGAAACCAGATTCAGCTAAATTTCAAAACTAGTTTAGATGGCCGCACACCATTCAAAATTGGCACTTCTCCGCGGGCCGCACAATTTTCCATTGAGGGCCGCATTCGGCCCGCGGGCCGCACTTTGCACACCCCTGTTGTAGATGGTTGCTAATTTCTGGAATAGGCATGCATATGACTTTAGCTTCATGTCGACCATACCGATTCCGCCCCTCCTTATGGGTAGGAGCATTCCAAAGTGCTTGGACGCGAGAACATTTTTCGTTTGTGCGCATTCCAAAACCAGTTTGCTCGATATGCGCGGTCAGCATCGCAGGTATTAATGTTAAACTCGTTATGAAACGTGTCATCAAAAATTCGTCATCTGTGCGACAGTGCAAAACGTGTAATCTGCACTTTCGGAAGCTCATAATGCTTTATCTGAAAAGCATTACACTTAGAATAAATTTCGTACTCGCTTGTCAGATCGTCATTTGGACGACCGCGGGCAATGTGCCATAGAAACATCATCCTTCACATTGATAATAAGTAAACAAAAACGATGTATTGTTTAATAAGATATGATAAAAGGCCACATATACGCCTCATTCTTGCAGGCTTTTAACACAGCAATAGAAGGTGCGAATGCGCTATTATTTGAAGTTTAATGTAGGGATTGTTCGAAGGCGGAAATATTGCGGCCCGCGCGCTACTGAAATGTGTATATTTGGCCCGCAAATACATAAAGTTTGCTGACCACTGCTCTACATGGAGAACGGCATAACTACGCTAACTCGTGATTTTGCCCAGTCCGCGTGTGACTTAATAATGCATTAGAAAATATAGCCTACGTATTTTTCTCATTCCCGCCTCAAAAGTGAACATTGTGTTTTTAATTATGCTTACTGCATTTCGATAATTGAAAAAAACACAGTTACGTTGAATTATCTTTTTGTTTTAGAATAAACCCAATGCCCCGTCCATTGTCAAATATTTTTGAAAACATTTTTATTAATATATGTAAATTGAATAGAATATTTACAAGAATTTGTTACTATATAGCCTACTTTGACAGAGAGAAAAGATTAATTTCTTCCAGATGCTGTGAGGTTTCCTAATAGTTTTCAATTTCAGCATTCATACAGGTTAAATATTATACAATATTTTACAATATTTAACTCTCTTCTAATCATTAAGTTTCCGCTTACCAAGTATTACTTAAATATTTAATGATATTAAAAAACATCACAAAACTTGCTGATATTTTAAATATTTGTAGTTCTAAGTTGTAGTTGGTATAATAAATAAATTACGCAGCTTCTGATTGCCCGTCGATGATTTTCACAGTCTTCACTGTCGTGACATTGAGTTATTATATGACTTGGAATAGTAATATGGGTCGATTTTCTAAATTGTTGGTGTTTTGTAAAGAAAAATGCTCCTGACTGTAAGCAAATGATCAAGCAAGTTTATATTTTTCGTACGTCTAGCTAGACTCTAGATGGTTATTACTTTTGTTTGTTCAAATTTCCTCATGTGGGTCGTCGGGACACGATATTTCACCCCTAATGGGACACAGGGAACTGGAGGAGGCGGAGAGAATTTGGAGGGAAACCACAATACTAAGCGCAAAATCGTTTTTAATGCGAATTCGTTTGCATACTTTTCCATTTATTAGAAAATTGTTTTTTTTTGTTTTCACTATAACTGAAGGACTATTTCCAGTCACATGGTGTTTTCACTTGTGTATAAATTATTTGATCATAATGTGATTTCTACCTACCAAAATACCACTACAAGTAGGCTATCTCTGTGCTCTGCGAAAACTAACTTTTGTAGTCGGTTGACAGGCCATCTAACGTCCAGAAAAGGATTGAATCTAGTATACTTTCGGCAGTTTCACGAGACTGCGAGATAGTCGTCGTAAAAGGATTATGGACCAAGAAAAATAAATTTTCAAATATTCCCTAGAGAAGGGAATTGGATAACTGTTACGTTGTCTTCAGTTTTACCAAATTAAATTAATATGGACTAGATTTCGAATGCGCGTAAAGTGTACATTGCTCGTATTTTTGGATTGATGAACAGTGGGGAGCCACGAGTGCTAAAAGCCTCCGAAAGGGTGCCACGGACCATGAAAGGTTTGAGAACCATTGATCTGGAGTTCGTAAGGCTTTATCGTACCGGTTAAACATGTATTTGATAATTGCCCTCTTGTTTTATTGTCATATACTCATATGACATTTTATTAAATTTTGCCGAGAATTCATTGATTCATAATTTATTAAAACCGGTATTCTTGATTGCAAGATCTGAATTGTGTATAATAGGCTTAAGCATTTGTTGAATCGTTCGATTGAACTTTTCCACTTGTCCATCAGAACGAGGGTGATATGGTGTCGTATGCGTTTGACAATACCATACAATTCGAACATCTCAGTGAACAACCGAGATTCAAAATCTCGACCTTTGTCAGTGTGGATAATCCGAGGAACAAATAACTGGGTGACCAGCTCATCAACTGTCACCTATGAAGTTTGGTTGGGAAGTGCATAACACTGCACTCACTAGGTGATACTACTAGCTGGATATTGATATCAGGGTCCAGTGAAGTAGATAAACAGTCTGGGCAGTCCGGGCGCTTACAGAGTCTGGTTTGACGAGACAGCCCATCTGCATTGCCAAGTATAGTCCCTGCCCTGCTCGATGTTCAATATTGAAGTCATATGTGAACAGTGTAGAAATCTAGAGAGCCACCTTCCCTTCTGGTTCTCTGAAATTCAACAGCCACTTTACGGCACCATGTTTAGTGCGAATCCCAAAGTGTCTGCCTCACAAATGATGGCGAAAATGAAGGACTGATTAACCTACCGCAAACAGTTCCTTCTCCGTTGTACCGTCAGTTTAGCTTATTAACGTCATGCTCAAACGAGCGAAAAAAAACAACAACATGAAGCTACAAATTTCAGATAACAGAAGGGAAATTTCCAGCAACTGCCAAAGGGAAAATATATTAGCAGTTTTGGGTACATCGCTAATAATTGGGCGAGGAAGAAAACCATTTCGAAGTAATATATATGTGCTTTTGTTTTGAGGCATGCATAGGATTTATATATACCGGTACCGGTAGATGCGAGTTGCAGTGCTGCAGCAAAGAAATAACCATACAAAAGACTGAATGATTATAATATTCAAGATTATACATCAACGAATAGTGATATTGACAATGCCATTCGCATTGCACCATGGTAGACAATACAATGCAAGACAATAGAGGGGTTTTGCAGTATTCATCTTTTCACAAATCTGAAACAGATATTCCTAACAAAGGCAAAATTACTGACAGAAATAGACATCGAGGTAAAGATTTTCTAATGCTTGTTTAAATAGAATATAATTTTTAGAACAAATTGAATCAGGAAGCGTATTTCATAGTTTCACACCCACAAATTTTATAGTGTTTTGTGTAAGATTAGCAGAATAACGAGTTACATGATAAGAGCTGCTGGTAGTCCACCCACATTTTACGTTCTTTCAAATCAAACAAAGTAAAGACGATGCTATAGTGGCATAAACGGGCACATAACGTCTATAATAGTTGGCAGTTTCCAAGAAACTTCTAACATTTGATACTCATTGAGGCGTTTTCCAATCCACTATTGCTGCTACATTGTGAGGATCACAGCAAACTCCTTCAGAAGAAATTATGTATCCAAGATAGGTTACTGATCGATGGAACAACTGACATTTAGTCAATTTAAGTTTCGAACCAGCACCGCGAAGTTGAATGAGAATTTTCTTCAAACTGCTCAACGGCGCGTCAATATCTGATTGATCCGAGAGCTGGAACATCATCCAAATAATTTGAACAACCTATCCCTATTTTTCCGCCCAACACTCGGTCCATCATCCGCTCGAAAGTTGCAAGCGCATTGGACAGACCAAATGTCATGGCTACGAATTAGTAGTGTCCTTTCTCGGGAGACTGAGAACAGTTTTCTCTCTGTCAGACGGATCAAATTCTACCTGTCAGTATACACTATCCAAGTCAAGCCCGAATTTACCACCCGGACCAACAAATAGGTCCTTAAGGTCTCTCAGCAAAAAAAAACATTGTTAATACTGGTCAGCCGAAAGTCCCTCAATCGAGGTAATCAAGTCTTGTAGATCAGTGGTCGGCAACTTCATGTACTTGCGGGCCAAATATCAACTTTTTTGATAGCGCGCGGGCCGTATATTTCCTCCTTCGAAGAATCGTCACAATAAACTTCAAATTACGGCGCATTCGCACCTTCTATTATTGTGTTAAAAGCCTGCCACAGTGAGATTTGTATGTGGCCTCTTTTGATATACTAACCAACAATACAAGTTTTTATTCACTCATAATTGTCAATGTGGAGGATGATGTTTTTATGGCAACTTTCATGGCAAAATCCCCAAATATCTACGATGCTGACTCGGCATATTTATTATAACTTCCAAGTGTAATTCATTTAAGATAAAGCTGCTCCCAGCACTATGAGCTTCCGAGCGTGCAGATTACACGTTTTGTACTGTCGCACAAATGTGCTGTGGCGCAATTTCACGGTCTCGGGGTCAAATTTTTGACACGTTTCGTAACGAGATTAACATTAAATTTCCTAATATGTCCGATGCAGACTGGGCATATCGAGCAAACTGGTTTTGAAATGTGCAAGAAAAAAAAAATTTCGCCCAAGCACTTTGGAATGTTCGACCTTTGTCGCGAACTTCCCTCCGTTTCCCAGACAATTTTACATTTTATAAATCGATTTTAACTCGAATGACATACAACTGAAGCTACTTATTACAAAACAAGCGCCGTACACCAGCACCTGTTAAAACATAAATCCGTGTAAAAACAATAATAAATTTAGGAATAATTTTTGTTTTATGTATTAAATGTTGGGTCGTTCGAGGGCTGCAATAAATTAGCTCGCGGGTCGCATTTAGCCCGCTGGCCGCCGTTTGCCGACCCATGTTGTAGATGATCAGGTAAACCATCAGGTTCACCAGTCTTTCAGAAAGTAAAATTTGATCAATCTAAAATAGAATGATTCCATGAAATATAGTAGAGAATTTTTCAAGTTCAGTTATGAGCGAAAAGTCCTATAAAAAATCATGACACTGTTGTAATAGTTAATTAGAAACGAGAGTGAACCAGCTCATTCAAATGATATTTAAATATCCAGGGACATGTCAAAATTTACGATTGTTTGCTTTCGTACAGTTGCACAAGTTATTTTCAAAAGGCTACGATAAAAGTAATGGCTAACCAAAGGGTTGCGTGTTGGTATTCCCCACAAAAATAAAATGTTCAATTCCCACTTTTTGAAAGGGAGTATAAGTACTTTTCTACAAATGGAAGACAGGAAGGCAAGTTGGTCCAAACAACATTCCAGCACGCTTTCTTAAATCAGTTGCTGATCTCCCTGTGCCATGTTCAGTTGAATTGTTCAATTTTATTCGAAATTTTCCCTGCATGTCTCAAAATTGCTCTCGGGTGATTCTCTTTTTCAAGACATGATGTAATAAATATATCTCAAATTGGTTTAAAAAAAAATCTATCTACATCGCATGCTATTTTGGATTCAATATCATATATCTATGATAAACTAGAAAGGATAATGTTTGAAAGTAAAACATTTTGAGATCTAAGGAAGGCCTTCGATACCTTATATCATGACATCCCAGTTTACAAGTTGAGACACTTCGGTATTATGGGTATAGCGAACAAATTCATTTATTTATAGTTATTTGAGTAATATATTTCAGTATGTTCAAGTGGGGTCGTATTCTTCCTCTCCTTTACCAGTGACTCACGGAGTTCCTCAAGGAGGTTGTTTGGATCCACTGCTTATTTTAGTATATATTAACGACATATCTTATCGCTCTTCATATTTTTCCAAATTGATTACTAAAGATACTAATCTCCTTTACAGCGACAAATCCTGTGCGGCCTTCCTATTTAGAGTGAATTCTGAAATTGCGAAAATATCTAATTGGATAAGGTTCAATAACCCCACCAACGCAAATCTAAAAATGGTATCGCAATCCAAATTAATGATAAAGAACTTGAAAATGTTTATTCCTATAAATACCTATAAATATCTTGGCGTATACAAAGGTAGCAAAATGAAATGAGATGTTCACTTATCCAAATTGGCCGTTAAATTAGCCAAGTCGGTTCGAATACTCTACAAGCTTGAAATTTACATCGCCAATAACACTACGGATGATTTACTGCTCCTTATTTCAGAGCCATATCCAATATGGCACAATCAGTGGCGTATCTACATAAAATTGCGCCCATGGCAAAATTTGAAGATGCGCCCCCCTTGATAGTTAGTTCACAATTTATAATGACTCTCATGGGAACGAGTTAATTGTACGTTATTATTTGAGTAAAACTACGAGTTTCAGGTATTACCAATTCGAAATTATTTTATGGAAATATTTAACGATTGAAACTTTTCTCCTTTTTAGCGCCCCTGTCCAAACGGCGTCCATGGCACGAGCCATGGCTGCCACACCCTAGATACGCTCCTGGGCACAATTGCCTGGGGTTCAGCTGATAAAACCCTTTATTGTTATCGACCCTTCTTTGTATCGAGTAATTTGTCACGGATTTTTGACCCTCATTTGGGAGTTGAGAATATGGTGTTTTTCATAATTTTTGCATTATTACCGATTTGGATTTTAACCGTATATAAATGGTAGTAAGGTTTCAGTGTATATATATTTCAATATATATATTTTTTTGGATTCAATTCGATCTGACAAGAATTTGGCATTACAATCCATTGTGTGCTTATTGAAGGAGTGCAAATCAGCGTTTCACTCCGTTAACGTGTGTTTTATAACACGGTGGGAACAGGCAGAGTAGGGTCGATTACCCCTATAATGTAACTGGTGAAATAGAAGTTGCACAAGATGTATGAGCATGATTGATGCTGTCGTCAGTTAAAGTTGACAGATCGTGACTTTGCAGTTCTCGTGACTTTGCACTTCTCAGTTGTGTCACAGCAGATCAATATTTGCATCATTTCCTTTATCTCGTGTACTTGCTTCGCAATATTATTATCATGTGCCCGTTATGTTGTGTAAGGCTTTTCAAGCATGGTTGTAAACATTGGATCGGTTCGTATTTATGGTTTTGAGTGCCATTTATAGGTTTTTAATTATATTTCAAAATTCAGAGAACTCAATGGTCATTTCGTCTGATCGACTTTTGTTTTAGTTTTCGTAATCCAAAATTAGTTCTAGAAAAACTCCGATAGACAAAAGTAGATACCAGTTTTATTTTTAAATTATAAGCGGTCAAGTATTCGAATCAAAGTAGAGCCCCAGACTGCGGTTAGTTCACCGGTATGTAGCCAACTAATAGCCTCCAGCAAGTTGTTTACATAACGAACGAGCGTATACCACTCAATTGCGAGGTCGGGGAAATCTGACAGCAGCATGTCTTGTTGACCAAGCAGTTTGCAAGTGTGCTTGCTGGCCGACTACAAATAGAATTTATCAGAAAAAAACTAAACAAAAATGCCTTCCACATCAGACAGGGGTTGTGCAACATAGGCCATCGTGCTACGTTATATCCCTAAGCTGATATTTTGCAAGTGTGCTTGGCCCTTTTAGCGGATATTAGAGTACAGATATGTTTTGTCAGAGTGGACTGTGAAATTAGCTTGAGAAAGTTATTATATAATATCAATATTGAAAATAACATATATATATATATATATATATAAATATGTGATATTTATTATATATGCATATTATTGTTGACAGACTGTTATATTATCCATTTCATCCAAATTTTCTAATGAAGACAAATTTTAGCAATTGTTTGTAACTTTTTACTTGATGATAAATCTATATTATGGCGTCAATAACAAATCTCACTTACAAACTTCTAAGCGTAAAGCATCTATGCGCTGTCAGGAATTTGATCGAAGAACATTTCACATCTACATTCTCATTGGGAGTATATTTAAATTGGACGAAGGAAGACTCGATTCCTGCATATTATCCTCGGATAGAGGTAGCCTACTTGACAAAGATGCAAATATTATTTTCCTCAAATAACGCATATTTGCTCCTTCATTTATATTATACGTATAGGACTACTATAGGCATGAGGCAAAAATAACTCCCAAGTTTTATTTTTTGATAAAATAGGCAAGGAAAACCTTTGGTAAATTTCTATTACATACACAACAAGGCATTTGATTGCCATTTTGCGTAAACTACGTAACTGCTACTCGCTTGACTGCTACTCGCTTGTTATGATATATTTTATGTAGATATCTAGGGTCTCTTTCTGTCCAATACCGAATTGTTTGTCTATTGACCCAAACTAATAAATAAAAGTGATCGTCATCACTGGTAATTAGTATATTATCATTAGCAAGAACAGTTACCTATTTTCTGTTTGTGAGAAAACATTCCACAATAAATGCGGGGTCTTTACTTTACCTGTCCAAGCCTCCTTTTTGCTCCAAAGAATTTCATAGAGTTTATAATAAATCACTTGTTATTGTAATCTTTAGAATACTAGAGACTAAATAAGAATTTCAATTAATCAATATTAATACTTTTATTTATTATTCTATTATAGGTTAATTACACAATAAATCCATGGTAAACATGGAATATATACTACATAAAGATATTGCTAATTTATCGACTACGTTGTTAATACCAGTATCAGTAAAATAAAATAATCTGTATTTATTTTACCAAATCAGTTCAAGGAATTGATCTCATAAATATTTTCGTTATGAGAACATTGATTGCTTTTATATAAATATAATAATCTATTTTATTTCAGTCTTTCTTAAAGCAAGGAAATTCACTCGGGGCATTCAGTGACAAAGATGCTAAATTACGTGGGGTTGCCATCAATGTGGAACACGACGATAATGAAAGAATAAAATATGATGAAACACTACATATCAGTGAAAAGACAGATACTATAAATCGGGTAGAAAATATATTTTTGACTTCAATTTACTTTGAATCTTCTTTTGCGATATTGCCCGTAAATGTATTAAATTAAACAATACATATGTTTTATATGTGTAAAGCTCATGGTGGCAATTGGAGTAAATCAATTATCTGACATTCTTGAAACCAAAAATTTTTGGGAGATGAGAATGGGAACTGTGCATCCAAGTTACAGAAGGAAAGGACTAATGCCTGAACTTATGAAAAGGTAAGATCAGTGAATGTATTTATAGTGATACAACTTTTTTTGAACCTATTATCATCATATCGATATTAAAACTTTACTATTTTCTTGAAATTTAGATCTACAGTTCTTGCCAAACAAAGGGGAATTGAGAAACTTGTAGCATGTCAAACATATAATAAAGCTCCGGAAGAACCTTCGAAAATGGACAGATTTGAAATAATCAGACACATTGAATTGAAAAACTATCTTGACCCCGTCACAGGGCAAAAAGTTTTTTCGGGGATGAAACCACCAAATGACGTCCAAGTTTTAATCGCTAAAACTTTGACTTAGTGAGATCCTGTGCTCTTATATCAGGGGTCGGCAAACTGTGGCACGCGAGCTAATTTGTTGCGGCCCTCGAACGACCTGACATTTAATACATAATACATACAACAAAAACTGATCCTAAATTTATTATTCTACTACACTAGTCTCTACACAGATTTATGTGTTAACAAGTGCAGCTGTACGGCACTTGTTTTGTAATAAGTAGCATCAGTTGTATGTCGCTCGAGATGAATTTGATTTTTAAAAGAAAAGTTAAAAATGTCCTGGAAACGGAGGGAAGTTTGCGACAAGAGTTGAACATTTTTTTGTTAAACATTTGGTAAAATTCTAAGAGAATACATTTGTTCCATGCGATGGTATGGCATTCCTCCAGTTGTATTTAAGGTCGTATACTTCGATGAAGTTTGGTTCAAATTGATCAATATGGCATTTGAATTTATTAAGAACCTTATTTTGTATTTCCTGTATATCCCATGCATTTATAAATCTATTGTTTCTATCTAGACGGATTTTTAGGTTTATTATCTCCAGTATTAAATTGCGAGGATTTCCATCACCACTGTATTGTTATGGCCCTCGTATGTATTTAAAAAAATATTTTGTCGTTCAATGTTTAGCGAGTTTCCGGTTATGGCTTGTACACTTCGGGTGATGGAATTATGAATTTTTATATACGTAGGACACGAGAGAAAGATGTGCGGAGTTGTATCGACGGCTCTTTTACAGAGTTTGCATGCTGGTGTTTGGAGCTGCGGGGTTCCGAAGTTTCTCAGCAGGCCGTATCTCCATTTGCGATGTCCCAACAAATATGCGTCGCGTTTAATTCTATACGACACTTCGCGTTCTAATAGTTTATTCTTAACCAATCAGTATTTTCTTGTTTGTTTCCATACAATCTATCTTGTAGTTTATGATAGATTGATCTCAATGTCAAATCTTGCCAATCTTCGGGTTCTAAATTCAATATCTGGTTAATGTTCAAAATGTGTTGCCAGTGGGCGTCGATTTGAATCGCACGATGAAAAGAGTTGCTGTATATAGATTTTTTTTATTGTTTTAAACCTCGAACCGAGAGTGTAAAAACCCTCGAAATGCCAGAATTTGCTTGGTTCTTCAATATTGTAGATGGTTGCTAATTTCTGGAATAGGCATGCATATGACTTTAGCTTCATGTCGACCATACCGATTCCGCCCTTCCTTATGGGTAGGAGCATTCCAAAGTGCTTGGACGCGAGAAAGTTTTTCGTTCTTGCGCATTCCAAAACCAGTTTGCTCGATATGACCGGTCAGCATCGCAGGTATTAATTGAGGAAATTAAAGTTAAACTCGTTATGAAACGTGTCAACAAAAATTCGTCATCTGTGCGACAGTGCAAAACGTTTAATCTGCACGTTCGGAAGCTCATAATGCTTTATCTAAAACGCATCACACTTAGAATAAATTTCGTACTCGCTTGTCAGATCGTCATTTGAACGACCGCGGGCAATGTGCCATAGGAACATCAGCCTTCACATTGATAATAAGTAAACAAAAACGATGTGTTGTTTGATAAGATATAATAAAAGGCCTCATATACGCCTCATTCTTGCAGGCTTTTAACACAGCAATAGAAGGTGCGAATGCGCTATTATTTGAAGGTCCGCAAGTACATGAAGTTTGCCGACCACTGATCTATATGGAGAACGGCACAACTACGCTAACTCGTGATTTTGCCCAGTCCGCGTGTGACTTAATGCATTAGAAAATATAGCCTACGTATTTTTCTCATTCCCGCCTCAAAAGTGAACATTGTGTTTTTAATTATGCTTACTGCATTTCGATAATTGAAAAAAAAAAAGTTACGGTGAATTATCTTTATGTTTTAGAATAAACCCAATGCCCCGTTCATTGTCAAATATTTTTGAAAACATTTTTATTAATATGAAAATTAATTGAATTTTTACAAGAATTTGTTACTATATAGCCTACTGACAGAGAGAAAAGATTAATTTCTTTATTTTCCAGATGCTGTGAAGTTTCCTAATAGTTTTCAATTTCAGCATTCATACAGGTTAAATATTATACAATATTTTAAAATATTTAACTCCCTTTTCATTATTAAGTTTCCGCTTACAAAGTATTACTTATATATTTAATGATATTCACAAACATCACAAAAATTGCTGGTATTTTCAAAAATTTGTAGTTCTAAGTTGCAGTTAGTATAATAAATAAATTACGCAGCTTCTGATTGCTCGTCGATGGTTTTCAGAGTCTTCACTGTCGTGACATTGACTTGTTATTGGACTTGGAATAGTAATATGGGTCGATTTTCTAAATTGTTGGTATTTTTGTAAGAAAAAATGCTCCTGACTGTAAGCAAATGACCAAGCAAGTTTCTATTTTTCCTTCGTCAAGATGGTTATTACTTTTATTTCAATGTTCTAAATTTTCTTGTTTGGGTCTTTGGGACACGATATTTCACCCCTAATGGGACACAGGGAATTGGAGGGGGCGGAGAGAATTTGGAGGGAAACCACAATACTAAGCGCAAAATCGTTTATATGCGAATTCGTTTGCATACTTTTCCATTTATAAGAAAATTGTTTTTCATAGTTTCACTATAACTGAAGGACTATTTCCAGTCACATGGTGTTTTCACTTGTGCATAAATTATTTGATCATAATGTGATTTCTATCTACCAAAATACCAGTACAAGTAGGCTATCTATGTGCTCTTCGAAAACTAACTTTTGTAGTCGGTTGACAGGCCGTCTACCGCTCAAAAAAGGGTTGAATCTAGTATACTTTCGGCAGTTTTACGAGACTGCGAGATAGTCGACGTAAAAATGTTATAGACACAGAAAAATAAATTTTCAAATATTCCCAGGAGAAGCGAATTGGATGACAGTTACGTTGTCTTCAGTTTTACCAAATTAAATTAATATGGACTAGATTTCGAATGCGCGTAAATTGTACATTGCTTGTATTTTTGGATTGATGAACAGTGGGGGCTACGAGTGCTAAAAGCCTCCGAAAGGGTGCCACGGACCATGAAAGGTTTGAGAACCACTGATCTGGAGTTCGTAAGGCTTTATCGTACCGGTTAAACATGTATTTGATAATTGCCCTCTTGTTTTATTGTCATATACTCATATGACATTTTATTAAATTTTGCCGAGAATTCATTGATTCATAATTTATTCAAACCTGTATTCTTAATTGCAAGATCTGAATTGTGTATCATAGGCTTAAGCATTTGTTGAATCGTTCGATTGAACTTTTCCACTTGTCCATCAGAACGAGGGTGATATGGTGTCGTATGCGTTTGACAATACCATACAATTCGAACATCTCAGTGAACAACCGAGATTCAAAATCTCGACCATTGTCAGTGTGGATAATCCGAGGAACGAATAACTGGGTGACCAGCACATCAGCTGTCACCTATGAAGTTTGGTTGGGAAGTGCATAACACTGCACTCACTAGGTGATACTACTAGCTGGATATTGATATCAGGGTCCAGTGAAGTAGATAAACAGTCTGGGCAGTCCGGGCGCTTACAGAGTCTGGTTTGACGAGACAGCCTATCTGCATTGCCAAGTTTAGTCCCTGCCTTGCTCGATGTTCAATATTGGAGTCATATGTGAACAGTGTAGAAATCTAGCGAGGCACCTTCCCTTCTGGTTCTCTGGAATTTAACAGCCACTTTAAGGCACCATCACAAAGTGTCTGTCTCACAAATGACGGCGAAAATGAAGGACTGATTAAACCACCGCAAACAGTTCCTTCTCCGTTGTTCCGACGTTCCGTCTTGGATAGAGTCCTACTGAAATAAGCTATAACGTGTTTTTCTCTCCCTCGAAGTTGTGATAATACAGCACCAGTCCCAGTGCCACTCGCGTCGGTGTCCAAAATAAACTCCCCTTGCACCAAAGGAAAAGCCAGAATAGAAGCTGACGTCCAAAGAATGCTTCCTGACAGTCATCAGTCAGATTCAGATATTTTATTTCAGTCGTGCATGAAATATTGTATTTACACAGGTAATGAAAAAAATGGTAACAAAAAGATCAATTGAAAAAATAAAGAGACATACAATATTTCCGCAATTGACGCGGGGCCGCAAAAGACTAACAGAGTCATCGTGTCATCGACACCGTGTTTGCTGAGTTTAGCAGCTGATCACGTCAAACAAACGTCAAATGAAATGACCTAATTATTCTTTAACAAAATTGAGAATACAATTCGACAAAAACAAATAAAATCGAAAAAGTCAGGAGATTACTAATTATAGAAGTCAGTTTAGCTTATTAACGTCATGCTCAAATGAACGAAAAAAACAACAACATGATGCTACAAATTTCAGATAACAAAAGGGAAATTTCCAGCAACTGCCAAAGGGAAAATATATTAGCAGTTTTGGGTACATCGCTAATAATTGGGCGAGAAAGAAAACCATTTCGAAGTAATATATATGTGC